AAATTTACAATCAGATGTCGTATAAAGAAAGAAAATAAACTACTGTAGTAGATACAGCCCCCCAAAAAAAATTCTTTGCTGTTTCTGTTTTATGTTTTATTGAACATAGTGATTTAACTGAGTTGATATTTTGCTCATTAAATGAATGTCATAGCTGTTAGCATGGAAAAACTAAAAATCAGGTAATTCTTTAGTCTGAGTGTTGTAGATAAAGTAAACATAGTGTAACATGATATCAAGTTTTCATGTCACTATTGTTACGATTGTAACTATTGTTACATGAAAGCTTATAACATCGTATTATAAAAAAATCGCCTGTAAAAAAACAAATAAAATGTAATAAGCTTTCATGTAACTAAGCTTATTACATTTTATTTGTTATTTTTACAGGTGATGGCCAAAAATAGTTACAACTGTTTACCCAAAATATCTAAATGTGGTTTTAGTATAATTTTTAAAACATTTGTTGTATATTTGATAACTTATATAATTATATATTAATAAGTACTGTATAAAATCTTGTGTACTGGCTTCCATAAGTATTCAGTATTTATCAGAAATTCTGAAAAATTTGTTTCATTTTTCACTGCTGTGTAATTATTTATGATATCTGTTTTTGCATTTTTAAGTGTATCCATAGGTGTTATACTTTCATATAAATAAATGTGAATTGATTGCGAATTGTGTCCATTTTATTTGTCTGGCCTTAGTTTGTAATTAGATATTTATTAAATAAAATCAATATATATATATGTATCTTTTTTTCTGTTAAAGAAAAATTTAACTCAACCTCATATTATGGTGCTGTCTGATGTGCACAATGCATTTGTTCCCCTTTTGGATGGATTTCTTGTAACATTGTCTGAAGCTGAAGCACTTGTTGACTGGTAAAGTTAACTTTATTGGTATAAAAGCTTATTGTAATCAGTGCCAATTATTTTCATATATAAATACATTCTTTACATGCTTCTATTTACAATAGAATTCCAAAAGTCTACAAATTCCTGTAATATGTGCCTCTTTTTGGATTTGTCAACTTAGTGGAAAATTTATCAGTGACAAAGTGAATTTATTTTATTAACAGAATTGTTTAGCTTTTTTGCATTTATAGGTACATGTTTTATTAAGATTCTTTATTACACACACATTGGATTGTAAATCTCTGCAAATTTTTGGAATTTGGGTAAATCTTGACTGTTAGGAGTATATTCTACTGCCTTTTAAATAAAATTTGGAATTTATATGTTATATATGTATAAAGAATTTGTCTCCTCTTTTTTGGATCCTGAATAGAAATTTTAAATCCTTCACTAACCCTTCTCATGTCTGGTTTGTTTGCAATCTTTACAAAATGAATAAGAATAGATTCTGAACTACAACATTTGTTAGGATATTCCTAATATACAAAATGGAAGAGCAGTAAAAAATATGAGGCTATAGCATACAGAATTTCTTTTAATAAATCCAAAATCTTGTTTCTAGCCCTTCCATTATAGCTAATGGTACATGTGCATAGAACATAATGCACCGGGTTTTATTTTGGAGAAAATCTTCCTAGTGAGAAATTTGAAAACAATGTATTTACTTTTTCTGTAATTTTAGAGCGTAAAAAATCATTTTGAAAGTGATATTACTGATGGATATGAAGTTGTGTTTATACCAGAGTTATGTCTTTAAATTTTTTCCTGCTTTAAAAAATTTCTCTATCACTTATTCTCATTACTGCATTCTCCATACACTATTTTCATTTTGGGTTTAAATTGTGCCACAGTAGCTCCATGTATCATTAGTGAAGTAAATGCATGTTCTTTATTATTATTGTTTCTTTACTTTTTTAAAACCTTTTTGTGTTTATTAAACTTTAATCAGTTTAAAATTTTTAGGAAGGAAGTTTCCTAAATTTATTTTCAGATGAATTATTTTTCTGGTATAATTATAAAGTTTTTTTTTTTTTTTTTTTTTTTTTTTTTTAACCCATACAAACATTTTCTGCAGTATATTGCTTTATTTCTTCATGCCTTCTACTTTCCACAATTGTAGTGTGCCCACCAATTTTAACATTGGGAAGTGATAATAAAAATTAGCATATACTTCTCAAATGGAATTATTCCAGTCAACCATTGTGCTGGGATTAAGTAGTCCACAAAACTCGGTGGATGCATTAACTTTTGACACCATAAGAAAATGAATTTCACTGCAATGTGGAATCCAGCAAATCAGATTTCTGTCTGGCACACAGAGTTTGCTTAGTCATTTCAGTTTCAAGTCACATTTTAATTTCAGGAGGTACTTATTCAAATATAATCTTTCTGAAGCATCCTCTTTTCTTGAAGAAAAAAAAAAAGCACCTTTTTCGTCCCATGGTATATCCCAAATCATGAAATTCATTGCAGTAAAAAAAAAGGGGGGGAAGAAAATTTTATAAGATGAAAACTGTGACTGAACTATAATAAAGACAGCAGAAGAAAAGTTATACCAAACTACCACAGCTTCCATTGAGAAAATGCAACGAAAAAAATTCAAGTGGCTTTAGCAGAAAAGTATCAAAATATATTTAGTAGTATCAGGTTTTTTTTTTTTTTTTTTTTTTTTTTTTATTACTTTAAATACCAACCAGAAATTTAAGTCATCTGTCGGCAAATCTTAATAAAAATTATCTTATATTATAGCAATTTGTGTTCAAATTTTTTATGTACAGTGTAGTTTTCCACCTCAGTAACTGTTAAAAAAATCTTGTAGTAATAGTTGATATCTAAATTTTCTTCCATGATGGTATAATATTGTGTTCTTGGATCATTTTAAGATTAAATTATTTTAAGTCTCTCAGCACTAAATACTGATGTTAACCACTTGCCTGAGTTATCCGGAGTTATCTCGGGTTCGTATATATTGCAGTTAATTATTATCCCGAGAAAACTCAGGTGAAGCAGGATTTGTTAGTATGATTTCTTTTATCATGGTTTTATTCGGTCTGGAGGAAATGAAAGGAAATATTCAGCTTTGATTGGCAATTTGCCAAATTTTGTTGGTTGCACGATTCTTTTGGAGGAACTGGTCATGTGTTTCCCTATTGTATTGTATATGTTGGCTTGTGGATTAGTAATGTATAAAGAAGGATGCATGCATTGAAAAAATTTAAATGATGGCGATGATGCAAGATAGCGAAAGCGATGATTTTTCAGATAATAATTATGAAGAGCTGGGGAGGAAAAAATCAAATCCAAAGAGACAGTGTATTCTGTGCTCCCGTGAAAGAGATTCCAGCGGTAAGCCAGTAAGAAAAGAAACCAGATACCAGTGTAGAATGTTGGCCATCACTCTGCGTTGTCCCTTGTTTCAAAAACTATCATACAAAGATTAATATTTAACTTTTTTCTGTTTGCCCGAGATAACTCGGGATAGTAAACTAATATTAAAAATAAATGCTTTTACACCTTCAAAAAATTAGAAATTCAACTTAAAACCTACATATTTTGGTTTGTTTCGTTTTGTTGTATTTAATAATAAAAAAAATTGTGATGATTTTTTGCAATTTTTTTCAAAAAAATTTGTAAGGGATGCGGTTAAAATGTCCAATCGTCACATTTTGTCAAATCCTATTTATCCTTATGTCTACATTTTGTCATTTGCATTACATAACATTATCATAGAGTTATCATCGGTACTAGCAGTAAAGTAAGAATTAATTCTGGCTTCCATTGCCAGTCTTGCAGCTGCAAATATTTCTTCGCAAATTTCTAGTTTTGTGAACTGTTGCCTATATTACAGAACATATGTTTAAAACTGTAAAAGTACATTATAAAATTGTGCAATTTAAATGTATTATTCATATGCTTTAAAAATGTTGCCTCTTCTTTAATTTTTAATAACGTATTTGTTAAATATAGTTTGTAATGCTCATAACTGATTTTTATAAGCATTTATCGATTAGTTTAATTTTTAAAAAAAATATATTTAATATTGCATGTTATGAATGATAGTTTCGTATTCACCTAGTCATCTGCTCTAAATTTTATTGTTTAATTTAAAATTGTATGTATGAATGTTAAAGGTTCTTATTATCTGAATTATTGAAGAAAATTTGATTTTCAGTTTAATGGAACATATACCTCGCTTGTTTATAAATGAACCTGCTACTGAAATTATATTGGGTCCTGTCATTCAAGTAGGCCTTGAAGCACTGAAGGTGATTTACGTATTTAATTATTCCTGCTGGTTTATTCAAATTATATTAAAAGTTAATAATTTATATTTGTGTTTTTCTTTTTACATACACATAGAATGCTAACTGTTCTGGAAAACTGCTAGTATTTCATTCAACTATACCTAATGCAGATGCTCCTGGAAAATTACCTCACAGAGAAGGACAAAAATTATTGGGAACTGACAAACAAAAGGTAATTTCTTTAGTTCATTTCATGATCTATGTTTTAAACTCTATTTCTTTGATTCTAAAGTGAACCTCTTAATTTCTTTTTCACTAAAGAAGAAAAAGACTAAGAAAATGCTAAGACAAAAACCAAACACTAAAATACATTATGCACATATTTTTTTAATTATTGTCTTTGATTTAATAATACAGTCAAAAGTTGTTAATTCGGACACCCATAATCTGGACCTCAAAGCTAAAAACTTTCTGCGCATGCGCCGCGTTGGCACAGGCGTTTTACGCGTGCGTGTAAGACCTTGACTACTGCGCATATGCATGTGCGCAAGTGCAGAATACGTTTTCGCCTGCGCGTTTAATGTATAATGGATGGTGTAAGCTAAAATTATCTAATTCAGTTAATGTTAATGATTGCGTTGTTCCTTAATCTTCGAATTGGATCACGCTTATTATTTTTTGCAGACTGTAAGAGCAATTTTATAAAAGTAAACTTGAACTTTCGATTATGTCAAATAGAATTTCCGATGCTGGAACTTCCAAAGGATCTACAAAACGAAAGTATGTTTCGATGTCCAACAAACAAAAAGTGGAATTTCTGCAAAAAATGGATAAAGACATGAAGAATGTGACAGAGAGGTTAGTGAAAACGAAAAAATTTCGATTGACAAGTTAGTCGGTATTCTCGGCACAGCAATTAACGGGACTTGAACAGCGGAACTTTGTAACTGAACAAGAAATTATATCTGTTTATAGAATTAAAGAGACACATAAAACGATTATCATATAAAACGAACATATTATCACATAAAACGAAGCAACTTATTTTTATTTATTTTTATTTAGTGACAAATTGAAATAATTATCGAGACACATTTTTATTATGGGAAAAAAAGTCACGCATAAAACATTTTTAAAAAATATTTCTTGTAGTGCGGAGTCCAGGAATTGGACTGACTGCGGGATTTTGGATTTTGTACTGTGTTTGAGTCAGTGCATAACCTCTGCAAAACTCAGTACAGTGCAATCTTGATACTTTTCATTTAGATCTAATATACCTTATATATTGAAGTATACCTTTTAACCTTATATACTGAGTAGAACTGTTTAAAATATAAGTTTATATTTCATATTATAAATATTCACAAATGCTTAAAGCTGTTGAAATTTTAAATTAATTTAAGAGTTTAAATATTTTCTAACATTAAAAGATTTTTGGTTGTGATAAAATGAGAAATCATATCAAAATTTAAAAATTGTCAAATTATTCTGTATAGTTAAAATAATGTATTAATTGTAGATATTTGTGTGCTTCAGATAGCTTTGTCTCCTCAGAATGACTTTTATAGTAAACTGGCCCAAGAATGTGTTGCAGCTGGCTGTGCTGTAGATCTTTTCTTTTTCCCCTCTGCTTATGTTGATATTGCCAGCATAAGTCCTTTGTGCAAGCACACTGGAGGACAGATGTATAAATATACATACTTCCAGGTGAGTACTGTAGACATTATTATGCTATATTATTTTTAATTACTATATTAAAATATTTATTATATAAGCTTTATGCAGCATTTTGTCAATTTTATGTTGAAAAAAATTGAAGACTTTTTTGATGGGGACACACACACACAAAATAATAGAGTTGCATCATAACCAATATTTTGATTGAAAAAAAATTAAATACTTATTACTGTAAAATTTCTTTTCCAAAAGTTCAACAATTTGACCTGGAAAGTGCTCTAAACATTAATGTAGCATTATGATTTTTAGGTGGTATTTCAAGAAAATTGATTGTATGCCATATTTATATCTTTTTGCTGTGTTTTGATAATGTGATTGCCTAAGATATAGATAAATATGGTGAGGCAGTAGAAATGGAATAGAAAAGTAGGAGACTGAATGAAATAAAATGACCAATACTGAGTTAAAAGATTATATTCTGATTTCAGATATGTACTAAATTTTAAAATCCTGCATTTATACTTTGGGCCTCATCTCATGAGTTTTATGGTGATATATTTATTCATCTATTAAAAATATGTAAATATAGGTATCTGGAACTTGTTCAGTGTCTGATTTTACTTTCATCTTTAGCAAAAATTGGAACATTTCTGTGAAAACTATGTATATTTCAACAGAATTTGTAAAAGTATTTGCTGTGGACGTTTAAAGCTGCTCTGAAGCAGTATTTTCTTGGTTGCAATTCCAAAATGACTTTCTCACTTTGTACCTTAAATCCTTTTCTTGCATTATACATACAACTTGAAATCACATAGATCAGGAACTAGCAGAAAATTGTATGTGTTGTGAATTTGAGAATTAAGCTGAGTTTAAGCTAAGTTTTACTTAATTTTAATCTTCAAGTTAAAGGCACTTCCCATATGTCTTTTAAAATGTAATTACACTAATAAGTGAGATAATGCATAAATTAATACTTCTAGTATAAATTAATACTTATACTATAATGCATAAATTAATACTTGTAATAATAAATAATAATAAATATTTTCGTCGTTTTCCGTCTGAATGTGTTGTACATGCATAAGTCTGGTGTTTATTTATACTGATATTTTTATTATAGTCCCATATTGATGGTGATAGATTTCTTGAAGATCTTGAAAGAAACATAACTACAACGACAGCTTTTGATGCTGTATTACGAATACGAACAAGTGCTGGTATGTTATTTCATAAGTTTTAAAATTTCTGTGCTTTCTTGTTTTAACGAATTTATATTAAAGGAATTTGAAGTTCAAATCACTGAGTGATTGATTTGTACTCTGTAAAGTTGTGCATAATGTTTAGTATGTTAAGATCAGATGACTTTAAAAGTGCATGCGTTTTAAAAGTTCTTCCCTTCTTCGGCTCAAATTTAAAACTAAGTAATGTCTTAAAAAATGACTGCTCTGAAAAGGTAATGGTAGAAGTCATAACTGTTGTTAAAACTAATGTATAATAAACATAGTATAATTATGCATGTGTAATAGTGTTTTGACCTCATGTTTAGATTTGAATTTTAAATGATCTTAATGGTTCAGATAACATGTAGCCTTTTATGTTAAAAATAGTACGTATTATGCTTAATTTATCAAAACAGAAATTTTAAGTTGCATTGAATTGCTATAGGATTTTATTAGCATGATTGTAGAAAACTTATCATTAACTTATTACTTAATTTTCATAAATTTTAGTTCCATGTGGTATTTCATCTATGTAATTCATGGTAATTTTACTTTTCTTAAAAAGAAAGTTTTCTTTTCAGGTATCAGTCCTGTATTTTATTATGGGAATTTCTATATGTCAAATGCTACAGATATTGAACTGAGTGCATTAGACTGCCATAAGGGAATAACAGTTGAATTTGCATATGATGATAAGCTCCCAGAAAATGAGACTGTATTCATACAAGCTGCCTTGCTGTATACCACCTGTACAGGTGAAAGACGGATTCGTGTTCACAATCTTGCAATTGCTACTTCAATCAATATGCCTGATATGTTCAGATGTTGTGAGCTAGACACCATTATAAATTTCTTTGCAAAACAAGGTAAAGTATGTTGATTTTTATAATGAATTATGATTTTCATTTGTTATGCTTATAAGGTCAGAAAAATGATGGTACATCTTCCTGAATAGTTCATATTTCTTTTTTAATTATTCGATGTATATTCATATTTGTAACAAAATATTAGAAATTAAAGTTTTTAATTATATTATAATGTAATATAGATCTTAAAACGTATCTTCTTTATAATTCTTTCTGCAATCAGTAGTAAGTAATGAGTAAGTAAAAAACAAATATGTATTGTCTAAATATTTTAATGAATAATTTGGAAATTTGACTCCGAGTAGCAGTTTTTATTATTTTTAGTTGTAGTTTTGTTGATGTAATTAAAGAAAAGGTGAAGCTTTGTGAACTGATGTTTTAATCTACTACATGTTTGTAAAGTCGTTTTATGTCTGTGTGCTTAATTTGTTAGAGGGATGTTTATTTCTTTTTATTGAAATAATGAGGTAATATGTTGAAGCTTTTACTTATGAAATATTATACATAACTCCATTTATATTTGCTGCAGTTTTACAACTTCTAAATATGTCTGCATTGTTGGTTGTATATTTTCCTTTTTCATAGTGTAGTTTCTTTTTCCTCCTTTTTTAAATCAGATTGTATTTATCACTTAAAATAATACAAAAAGACTTCATGTGCTTTTGTACTGGAAGTAAAAGCTCTTAATGCTAATCAGTTCTTTTGCAAAAAGATTTAGGCATATTCATTTCGTTTCTTATTTGTTTTTTAAAGTTTGTACAAGTTTAGTCGAATCTGTCATCAAAACATATCAAAGGTAATTATTTTCAGAGATTGTACTTTATATTTTTAACTATGAAGTTAAAATTCTTTGCATGTGATCTTTTTCATTCACCACCAACCAGCGGCCGAGCAGTAAAGTTGCTAAACACTGGTAGTTTGGTCCGAGGTTCAGATCACGCAAACGGGCTGGCTACATGGGCAATTTTGCGGTTTTCTCCATATGTAATGTGTATACAAGCCATTTTCCCTTAGAAAGTTCTTTGCGAAGGCATCCAGCTTCTAGACAGATAGCCCTCAAGGCTTTGCCGTAATCACATAAACCAAAACTTTTTCATTCTTCCTGTCTAAAAAAACTTTGAATTTGTAACTAGATTAAATTTTGAACTGCTTCATTGTTAAAAAAGCTCATATAAAATGCTAATATGGCTGCTTTGTTTGATTTTTAAAAAATATTATGTAGTATATTTGAAATAATATCTATTCATCACGATGCATTAATATATTTGCTTAATTTTTTGGTAAAATCCTCTTTTGGAATCCATTATAGAATGAATGCCTCTCAGTGTCATTCTGATAATATGAATTTTATGAGAAATTTGACTTCATGGAATCATCTTGATAAATCAGAGAAATCTGGTGATTGTGGCAAGAAAGAGGTGTGTTTCTGATCAGAAGAACTTAATTTTATTTTTTTGGAGGTGTTGAATGCAGGTTCACGCTAGAAACCAAGAGGCTTTAACTTTGTTAGTACCAAGCATAACTATGCTGTCATTGACTGTGTCACTTCATACATTTCTTCTCTAGATAATATGCTAATGCTAACAGTTATTTGAATTTCAACAGTTATTGGAATATTATTATGGTTACTAATTCAGAAGTCAAACAACAAAAATCAGCGTTATATTTTCAAATTTTAACAGAACTAGTTTCGATGGTTTTACTAAACCACCATCCTCAGCTGCAAAAGCACAAATGAACAAGATAGGATATAATGATAAGATAAGATAAGAAAGCCTAGACAGAAGATAAGCTAGTGACGCCATCTGTTGATGAAACTAGAACTAAAACATAATTTCTTTAAAGGCCGAAAGCAAAGATGGATTGGAATTAAGATCGTTGACTAGAACAGAAAGATTTTTTTGAGTGTGAAATGTCTCTACAAAATCCAGTTCTCCAATGGAAGATGTTTTTTGAATAATTTTGGCAGCAGAAAAATTTAAAATGTGATTTTCGGACCAACAATGTTGGGCAACAGAAGACTTCTGTGTTTCCTTTTTTCTAACATATGCCTCATGTTCCTTGATGCGAAATTTTAAGGCCCTCTTAGTTTGGCCAATGTAAATTAAACCACACTTGCAAGGAATCCTATAAATACCCTAGGAATTCATATCCGGAATGGGGTCCTCGAGTACGGAACTCGGAAGTTTATTGATGGGAGAATAAACGAACCAAAAATTAAATTTCTGCAAAATATGTGCAACTTTATAGGTAACTGATGGAAAGAAGGGAATGACAACAGAATTTTTATAATATCCTAAAACAAGAGTGTGGCTTTTAGTGTGTTGAGAGGAGAATTTTTTAACTGCTTGATTAATAATGGTGGGCAAAAAGCACCTGTCAATAGCTGTTGCTTTTAAATAATTTAGTTCTTCATTATTCTCTCTTGTTCTTCTGATAAACTAAAATTAGAAATATTAACTATTGGCTTAATGTTTACAATGGGAAGATTTTTTAAACTACTTAAGCTGGAAGATTGTAAAAGAAGTTTTTCGAATTTAACTGCAAGGGTGTTTTTTTTGACGGCTAACTGCATTCTCCATTCTAGATCAAGACTTTTGTTCAAGGGCAGTGAATTTTGGATATGAATTAGCGAGTTCCAGGTGAAGCTTATAGAGATCATGTTCATTTTTGGACAGTTGTTGATGTCATATTAAAGCAGTTATTTTAAAAAAATTTAAAGCTTTACAATTATATTAATTCTTTTTTTTTTTTTTTTTTTTTTTTTTTTTTTTGTGTGTGTGTGTGTGTGTGTGTGTGTGTGTGTGTGTGTGTGTATTTTATGTGAAACATTAAACATTGGAGTTTACCTTTCAAATAATATTCTTAATTGTTATAATTTATTCTACCTTTCAAATAGTATTCTTAATTGTTATAATTTATTCTACCTTTCAAATAATATTCTTAATTGTTATGATTTATTGAATGTGTAGTATGATCTCCTCTATGCATAAAATTAATGTGATTAATTTGATATTTATTAAAAAACTAAAAACTGATATTTATTATTTTAAAAGTAATCTCAAACCTTTCATAAATATTATAAGTATAATTTTAGCTTGAAATTGTAATTGTTATTGAATTTTCCAGTGTGTTATCTACAGTTGTGCATGTATTACTGTAGATTAAGCCCAAGTACAATAGTTAAATTGTTGAAATTTTGGCTAATCTTTGGAATACAGTAACAGGTAGTTTGGCGACATTTTGGTAAGGCGATAAAGGTTACTAGCTAGGACTTTAGCAGTGTACATGGATAAAGCCAAGAGTGTGTGCAATGCCATTTTTGTGCAATTCTGGGATTTTTTTTCAAGTGAAAATAGGTCGACGTGTACATGGATACCGTGTATGTGCAATTCTTAAAAACGTGGCAATGAGTTTGCGATTCTGCACTTTCTCCTAATTTCGCACCTGATCTTCGTCATGATTAAGCACTTTTGTTCCATAAAAGTTCTAGCATAAGCGTAATTAATTCGGCTAGCAGATTGTTGGAAAAAAATGTTGAGTTAAAAAAAAAAAAAAAAAAAAAAAAGCCTTTACTTCGTGAAAACAAAATGGTGTCCAAACAAAAAAACTAGTAGGTTGCTTTAGCAGGGTTGGTCGCCAAAAAATCGCCAAGTTACTATAATCCAAAGATTAACCGAAATTTTTACTACATATTTGTGTGCTTAATTTTTTATTATATATGTATATTATATATTTGTATAGTATTCATACAGAGGCTGTTTACACATTTTTAAAATGATTTCGATGTTGTTTAATTACTGTTTAAAACGTAAAGAGTATTTTTTAAATATATAATCTAATAGCCTTCTTTCTGGATTATCAGTTTACATTGTAATCTCATGATAGAAGAAGGGCTCTTTGTAAAATTTCCAGGGTATTGATTTCCATTCCTCTTTCGCCACTTTCCAGAGTCCATCAATCGTGGTGGCACTTAGAAAGAGCCCTTTTCAAGAGACCAAAGGCACAGTATTCCAGTATACAGTTCATCACAGACTATACAGGAATACATTGAAAATCTATTTATGTGATACCTATATCAGTCTTCGTTCTTTCAAGGAATGCAGTAGTACTTTTAGATTTCATTCTTTGACTTCATTCTTTCAAGGAATGCAGTAGTAATTTTCAAATTTCATTCTTTGAAAGTCTTTAGGATTAAAAAATTGAATTTCTTTATTTCCCATTCTGAGGAAAATCCTGGGATAATCATAAACTCGTTACTGAAATTTTCTTTGCATTTATGGAACCCCATTTATACATACTTTTCACCTTGTTTTTGGTAATAAATGGACTTTTTTGTTGCAAGAATTTAGACAAACGTATGCTTCATCAAAGGTCACAACGTATTTCCATTTGTCTTCTTCTAAATAGTTTTTATATGGGGTTCTACAAATTGTTCTATGTTTAGCCACATGCCTCAGCAAAAGCTGGTAAATTATGTCTTAGCTTTTTAAAGTTGTAAGTCTTAGTTTATTATTTTACTAGTGTTGCTAAGATCTATATAAAAACTCTGCAGTTATTTCTGTGTTGACAGTTTTTTTTTTTTTTTTTTTTTTTTTTTTTTTACCAGTGATTCAACTTTTAGAAATAGTACTTACTTTTTCAAGGGGTATTTATTTGGGTACATACCTTTTTTGTGGGTATTCATTCTTTCCATGTAGAATTAATAATTGATGTCTTTTCCCTTTCCAGTTAATAATGTCGCTTATTTTGCACTTTGAAGTTTGAATATCTTGCTTTTCACAGAATTTTTTAATTGCAGAATAGAAATATTTCTCTTCGGAAAGTGCAAAAACATATTCTTCAATCCTCAGCTTATTTACAAGTGAAATTTTTAAAAAAATAAATTTAGAACCAGCAGACAATATCTCTCATTTCAAATAATAAGCTGTTACCAGAAATTTTTATTTAAAACATTGCTTTTTTTGTTTGTTTGTTTGTTTGTTGTTTAATTCTTTATTGAAATCATTCTAAAATTTTTTAACCATTTTGTATTCATTTTTAATTATCTTTCTTAGTTTTAATAATGTCTGTTAGTTTTACATATATTTGATGTAAAATTAAGGAATATTTATAATATTAAGTTAACTGGTTGCAATTCTGAATTGTGAATGTGTGTTAAATTTGGTTATTAAAGGCTTCATACTTCAAACATAATGCACTGAAGTATTTTTAACTTCCATTTTCTTCTTGTACTAGCTATTTCTAAAAGAGCAATAGTATTTAACATTTTGTACATATATATTTTGGAGTGGGCTGAAAAAAAATTTTTTTCTATCGCCTAGCTATGCAGAATGAAGGAAAAAAAGTATCTTCCATTTGTGCATTAAAACTCAAAGTTTTAAAAGTAGTGCGATTTTGCAGCTTTTCGTAAACTTTTTATAATTACTTAACTCGCTACTGTCATAATGCAATTGTTTCCAATGTGAATGTTTGGGGAATGAAGAACACGAAAAATGTTTAAAACCTGTAATTTCACATTATTTATTGCTTTCACAAAAAAAAAAATGGTTTTTGTAAAAATAACATTTCAAAATTTTTGATAATCTTACATTTTGATTTTTAGTAAACAAACAGTGAATATATTTAACATTTTCAGTTTCATGATTCAAAAACATATACCTTAAGGTTAGTTTTTTAAGAAAATTTTGACATTATAAATTTTGATGGGAGAATTGTCTTGATCATGCCGTTTCTTATGTCAGTGCCACACACCTATTTACATACATTGGTCGCAGGTTTGAGACACCGTTCTGCAACTTGTGTGTGACAGGGAAAGTTTCAGAAATCCAATTTCAGCGATGCACCAATCCTTAATAGAATTTTGATGTCCTCATCCATAATGTTCCACAATAGTGGAAGAGAGAGATTGCAACTATCCCACAAAATCATATTGAAATAATCTGTTATTTCAAAGTTGAGTTTTGGTGAAGTTTCGAATAGTCCTTGAATAGAATATGTTTGATTGATGGACTAAATGTAATACACAATTATGAATGAAAAATCTTTGTTATTCAATACATATACTTGAGTAGTGGTCTGCTATTTTTGAAAGACATGAAAAAAGCAACATTAATGTTATTAATCGGTATATCAATATACTGTGCCTATTTTTACCTTCTGGATTACATTGCAGTATGAAAATTTCAGGTATTTGTGAATTTAGATCAGTTAGTTGTTTTAACCGTTTTAAAAATATGAAGCAATATTATGCAAAGTAAGGCAATCAAGATTGAGATCTAATGACAGTGAGGTTAATACTTAAATGTGAAGTGGATAGTTATTGTTTATTATATTATCAGAGAACTATTAAACTGGGTAAAATCGCTAAAAGGGATTTTGAATGCTCTGCCAAAATACATATACTAGAAAATTTGAATTTGATAGTGGATGTATCCTAAAATGAGTTTTAAGTCAAATGTTTGTAACTTGATGGCAACATGTAAATATAAAATTATGCATGTTAAAATATTTGTAATTAGGCACATAAGTCAGGTTAAATTTTTATTAAAAACTCAATTTGCTATCTTGAGTGTGAAAGTGGAACAGGATCAGTAGAAATTAAGTATAATTGATCTTCGTGCAACACTTTTCTGTGAACTTGAAGAATGGAGAAGTCAACGTAATTAGAGCAAACCATTGGATGTTTTTCATAGCCAGTCATTTTTTTCCTAATTGGTCCCCTCATAGCTTTGGACTCTATTGTAACACCGCCCAAGTGAGGATATAAGTGATGAAATGGCAGTTCATTGAAGTGTAGAAGACATATAGTCTATTGCAATGATGTCCCAACATGCAACTTGATCTGGCGGATAACATTTTTCAAACCAATATTAATTAATGTTCCATTGCTCCCTAATACATAAAGTTCTTCAAGGAACACATTTAGACAGTTGACATGTAGTCAAATGGGAAATTATGGTAGAAGCTATATATTTAACAAGTCCTGTAGAAGGAGAAATATGGCTGATATATTCTGATCCTGGTTCTTTTATAAGGGAATAATGATTCTCTTTTTCTGTTCTTCCCCCCCAAAAAAGGAATTATTTTTTTTTAATTACCATTATGTTTTTTTTTTTCCATCCATCAAAGTACAGACCATGTTGTGTTTCTTTAATAAATTGATTTTGTCAATCATTTCTGTTATCATGAATTTTCCTTCTGCTTACTTTGTTTTTGTCAATGATGTGAGAATTGTCTGAAACAATTATCACATAAGTAGTTACATGATATTTCCAATATTTACAATTACACCATATAGTTACATAATAGTTGATGATTATAGTTACTGCTTAAAAGAATTTATTTATTTAAAAGAATTTGTAGCAGAAATTGTGAATTATTGCTGTTTTTACAAAAAAAACTGTTTTTAAAGTTTTTGCACAAACCTTAAATAATTTAAATTACAGGTTTTAAACTATTTTCATGTTCCTCATGCTCTAGAATTCGCTTTAGGACCTATAACATTTGGATAGTAATGAATTTAATAACGGTAAAAAAACTGATGAAAAACACCAAAATTTCAACAGTTTTCAAAACTTTGAGTGTGATGCATGAATGAAAGATATAATTGTGTTTGAAAATTATATTTTTCATTTTGCATCAAAAGGCAATAGGCACAGGGTATAACAATAGAAAAATGTATTTTCTCGGCCCGCCCTAATATGTACAAAATCTGTTGGTTTCTGGAATATATATATAAATATCTGAAATGTAAATAAATGAGTATATATATTATTTTTTAAACATGAAGTTTTGATATATCTTTTTCTAACATTTGACAGCTTTAAAGCAGCTTTTAGATCACAGTCCACAACAGTTGAAGAACAATATTATAAACAGAACTGTCAAAATTTTGACATGTTATCGGAAACATTGTGCCACCAGTTCTGTTTCTGGACAGTTAATTCTGCCAGACAATTTAAAACTTCTCCCTCTTTATATTAACTGTGTGCTGAAAAGTGATGCTGTTGCTGGAGGTTAGTAATTCTTTTATTATTATTATCATTATTATTATTCTCTTCTTCTGAGGTGTCAGCATAAAATTTTCAGACAAATTTTTAATGTTGATTTCTGAAAAATGTCAGTTAATGTAATTCTGCATTTGGTTTAGGCAGGAACTAATATTGTATTTCTAAGAAGTGGAAACTGTGCCGTTTTTCTGATGGATTTTGAATTTTAACAAAGTTTACTAGCCAGATAATCATATGGTTCACTGCATTTATAATTCATGCATGACTCAGGATTGAAATTGCAATGCCAAAATGGAAAACCTGCAGCAGTCATCTTTCTTACTGAATTATTCAGTAAGAAAGATGACTGCTGTGTGCAGAAATATTTGTGCTTACACAGTTTGGCACTTTGAGATCAATAAACATAATCTGAGGACTATTTTTTTCTGCTGTGAGCTCATTGGATGCATATTAAGATTAGCAGCTCACCTTTTCTTTTTGTTGTGGCTGAGGAATGACATTTCAGGTGTATTCGATGGTAGACAAGGCTAGAGATATAGCAGGCTACAGCAGCAGAATCTGTGTTGGCTATTAACAACAATGTGAACTTGCAGCCTAGAATTCTTATTTTGAAAAATAGTTCCTTGAAAATCTTGTAGGAATGGCCATATTGCTGATTTTATGACTAAAGCAATATAGTCTTTAGCTGTCAACATATCAGGAAGAAGACTAGAGATCATCCATCTGGCCAAACATTATACTATACTGTCCAACATTGTTATTTGAGAAAGAAGAGTATGTATTATCTGAAGGCGTGTTAATGGTGTTGGTCGCATAGTTTTTGGACAAATTTCTGACCATGAGTGCCACTAAGATAGATGTGAGCATCATCACAAAAGAGGACAATATTTGTTATATGTTTCATTGCTGCCTGAACTTACAATGGGATAATCTGTAATAACCAAGGCTTGTTGTCAATAGAAAATGCTGATTATTTGGTTCTTAGTCCAATATCATGCATCTTCTGCTGGTTTGTATTGACAGTGCTGTTTAACCTCTTGAGTGGTGGGATTGCCTTTATCCAGTCATGAGAGTTTTTGTTTCTTAGTATATATATATTAATTTATAATTAAAAATATTTTGCTTCCTTAATTCCTTAAATGATTATTAAAATTAAATATTATAAAAATGAAAATTTATGAAAACAGAGACTAAAATAAGTAATTATACAAATTTAAATAATAAAAGTTTTAAAATGCATAAGTAAATCCAAGAATGTGTGTTAATCAGAGGCTTAATGTGTTACATCCAAGTTACTCATATGAGGATGAAAATCACAATGTACACTTCTAATCCACAAAAAATCTTCCGGCTGTCATGTGTTGTCCTAGCGATATCTAAAATACATGAAGTACGGCAGTGCTGTCATTTTGGCCTAAATGCATATTGGTCTGCTGAAGTGATAAACCAACATCTTTAAGTTCAGTGATTTTTTCCCCCTCTCCATTTCTGATTGGTGACAGTAAGTGGTGTGTCGATCACACTGTCAAACCACAGGATTTAATAAATTGTTCCCGTGGCTGAAAGAAATAAATAGAATTAGGCTTTTTTTCATTTATAGAAATGCCCATAATTAAGAATGAAGCCCATAATTAAGACCCTTTGTTACAGAATTATATCAAGCTTTAGTATATTGGTTGTGTAAGCCATTGACATGTGTGCGTGATTCCATCAGGTACTTTGTTAAAAACTCGTGACAATATACTCACCATGTCACTTTCAAAGAAACAAAAATGTTCTTGAAGTTTTTGTAAAGATTTGTCATGTTTACATGCTTCAGAGTTGTAAGAAGGTCATGTGTTGTATTCTGTGTGCTATTATGATATTTAGTTGATGATGGCAGTCTTATATGCAATCTAATAAACACCAGAATTGCATAAAAGTAAAATCTACTTAGAAGGCAGTATCATCATATTTTATAAAAAAAAATTTATAAATTCAGAACTTTTACAGTCTTCATTTCTTTTTTGAAAGCATGTGCTTGACCATGCAGATTTTTTATTTTAGTCAGTGTTTTTTGATTTTGCTGTAGTCAGAAATACTTACTTGCAGAATAACTAAAGCAGCTGCTCTGGTTAAGAGCATAGAGGATTTCACAAGAAAGGAAATTATACAAGTATTAAAAATAACCATTTGCAATAGTTTTTAATGGTAGTGCAATACAAGTCCTATAATATCTGTGCCTCTGTTTCACGCTACATAGTTGTGAAGGCCAAATATATCTCATTATTATTATCATTATTACTGGATATATACAGACTTATATAATGTATAGAAAGTTTTAGAAAATTTTTCCAACACACAGTCCTGTAGAAGTTCTAAAGTTAAACTTATGGAAGCATGGCTGCCAAATTCAAAACTACTGAGTTTCCAGTCATGTTGATATCAGGAGCTGGCAAACATCCCAGCTAAATATGATTTTGATTTGTGTAGATAGCATGTTCTACTTACAGATATTCATAAGGTCATCAAGGAAAACGTCCTAAATAAGTAGCAGTTACTGTGGGATGCTTAGGTAAATAATAAACTTAAAAGCATGAAACCTGTAGTGGAATATTGGGAATTTACTAGAATTTGAAGGTAGGAAGTGATTGTAACCTGTCTTCCTATTGGTCACACCTGAGTTGCACACAGTTAGCTTTTGAAGATGGAGAGTGTGTCTGTTTGTTCTCTCTGTGAAGGTGTTCTGACATCATGAACATGATATGACAGTGCATCATTTTTTAATTCAATATACATGTTTTAACCTTTGAACTGTCAGGCTCGAAATAATCTCAGGCACAGCACTGGTATTCCAAAATGTCACGCCCGAATATTACTCGGGTTAATTTTTTTTTGAGTGTGTCATATTGTTATAGCCGAATATATATCGTGAGAAGTTTATTTCGTCTTCAGTTCTCAACAGATGGCAGCATTTGACTGAAGGTTTCAAAGGATAGAGGTTAAAGTTCAAAGTGCATGGCATTTTTTTTATTTTTTTGACTTAGATGCAAACATTTCATTTTTGGAATAAAAAAAAATTGAGAATTTATGCACCCAAATCATCAAAATAACTTGACAGTTAAAAGGTCAACATGCTTTGATTCAAGTATTTTAATGACTCTGACTAGCCTCTTGACTATAAGTAGGAAATAGGTCAATGCTAATTTATTTCAGTATCTGAAGGAGAGTGGTTTTTTATTTAATTTGATTTTGTTTTGATGTTGTATCTTTGTATTTTAGTGCTGTATGTTTTAATGTATCTCATGTTTTATACTTTTATGCCTGTTTGATATTTGATATCATTATATGAATCTTAAGTAACTTCATCTCTGAATTCATTATTTTATTAATTTTTTGATTTTATAAGTCTGCTGTTTTAAATTTGTGATTGTATCTAATTCTAATTAATTAGCATGTGTCTGGCACTTATAATATTTCCAGGTTGTGCGCTATAAAATCCACTACCACCAAATTTAGCTGAAGCAAAACATGCAACAAAATTCACCTTATCAGTCAGTAATGAGGGAAAATGTATTGTAATTTTTTTGTTCCTTTCGCAAATTCACGGGTAATGTGCCTTATAAGTGATTAACATTCAATTTATTGAGTCCCTTCCTTGCAGTCTGAAGAATGCTGGATTTTTATGATCATAATCCAGTTAAGTATTACTGATAACCCCTCTTAAAATGTGGCATTTCTACATATAAGCTCTTCTCACATAGATTCTTAAAAAGTTGATCATTTAATGTCTTAATTACACCTTTAGTCTCCCAAGTTTACAGAGTTTTACTTGTTTTTTCCGTTTTGGTGTTGTAATTTCAGTTTTGAACAGCAGTGCGTATGTATATACAGTAAAAGCTCAACTGTCTGGCATTCAGCTAGCCAGAAAGCTCAAGTGAATGACATATTTTAGAATGTTAGAAACTCTACCTTTCAAAAAAAGTAAGCAAATGAGAGTCTTGTAAAGCATGTACAAGACATTGTCACAGTGATAAGGTCGCATAAAGGAAGAAGAAACTGAAGATTAATATGAACAAGGATGTCTCGTGAGCATAAGATGAAAATTATTATTATTTAACTTCCGAATATGTTTTCAATAGTTTTTATTAAAATAATTAAATTGTTGGCAATGTTAAAAACGCAAGCTCAAGAGCCACGTATTGCTCTCGCACGTAAAATGTATAGAATTTGATTTTAAGAAAAGGATTTAGGTTTTTCTCTTGTTGATTGTATGTAGCCATTTTTTGGGGCATTCAATAAAATTTTCATATGGTGTTCCATCATTAGCGTTTTCATTGGAGTTCAACACCACAATGTTGAAGCATTAACACTACACCACATCACCAAACATTCGTTTAGCACCAATAATGGTGCTAAGAATACTGATTCTCACTTAAGATATTACATAGGTAGTTAATACTGAGAGAACTAAACTGTTATATCATGTTAATTTAGAAAAAGATTTTTTTTATTTTTTATTTTATTTTATTTTGCTAAAAATTTTAAATTTTGCGAAAACTGAATTTTCACTCTCAAAAGAAGTTAGACATTAATGTTATAAGATATGTCTCCCAGCTTCTTTGCGTGCCTTTGTGGTGTGGTGGTCTGCACGCTGGGCGCGAATTCCAGATGCCTGCAGTTCGATTCCCGGCAAGGGTGTTGCTAATTTTCCATCTGTCCTGCTTTTCTAATTAAACTAATGTGTCTACAGTGGTGCCCAAACTAAAAGGGTGTTGGATGGTAATTCGTCTCATCCAGGATTTAGCAATTGAGTCCCCTAAAATACCCCAGTCACCCTTTAAAAGGGGGAAGTATATGAGGTATGTTTTCCGTCTTCTTCGCATGTCTTCCTGGTGTGGTGGTCTGCACACTGGGTGTGTATTCTAGAGGTCTGTGGTTCGATTTCTGGAAGGCATTGCTAATTTTTCATCTCTCTGGCTTTTCCAATTAACCTAATGTCTCTTCTATCTCCTGACTGGCATGTAGTTTTGCTAAACTCTGCTTTTTATATCTAAATTTTTTTTTTCTTTTATTTCTAGTTTTATTTTTAAAGTGTGATATTACATTGTATGGAGTATTTGTAATGGACAAATCTAAATTTGTTCAAATTTAAATATTGATGTTAAGATAATATCTTTAAACACGTTTGGGAAATTTGTAATGAAGAGTAAAAATGAAATCAAATTACTAGCTTTCAGTTGTTTAATTATTAATATTTCTAATAATTTTACGAAGCTGTGATCCCAAAGTAGCATTTATGGAAAACATAAGTTGGAAATACTCCCTCTTTGAACAACAATTGTGTTTACATAAAGTACCAATTACTGATACAGCTTTTAGATTTAAAAATGGCTGTCTGTGCAGACCCCTCTTATGAACTCTGTATACTTGAAGTAAATCATTTAGTTTTCGATGAAATGATTTAGGTTTTGTAAAGAAGTATATAAGGCAATTGCTATTTATTAGTTTTTCATTGCACTTTTAAAATTTGGTTAAAATTTGGAACCTTTCTTTTACTTAACAACATGCAGTGTAGTATTTTCAAAGTTACAAGATCCTGGCATCAAAGACATACATTAATAGCCATCATATGCAATTTTATATGAAAATGAATAAACAATGGCAATATAATGTGATAAATCATGATAAGCATTTTTAATTTTTATATGTTAAATCCATAACTTAAATCTTGTTGATTATTATCTAATTAAATAAAGTACGATGTCCTTGGCCAGCACAACATTGGCTGCATGTTTGCCAGCTTTCATATTTGACAAGATTTTATACTTGCATAAGATGTTTGAACTGTAATATTTGTGAGGTTGTGCGATACATCCATTTATATGTTTGAATTTTTTTCCCCCAAATCTTACAAAATTTTAATTTTTTGATATTCAAGTTAACCCCTTGCAAGTGTTGCCCAAGTCCAGTTCAGGTAACTACTACGTGCGGTACTTATGATGCTCAAACTGACTTTGAGCTGAAGAAAACTAGCATTTCTATTTCGTTAAGCCTGAACTGAGTTCGTTTTACATTCCAAAGCATGTCTGGAGTCGCTTGCTAAAGCAAGCATATCAGAAATGTGCATTTTGAATTCTGGAATTGTCTTTGGCAAAGGAAGCACATACACAAGGTCTTTCACATAACCCCATAGAAAGAAACTGCAGTGTGTATGTGCTTCCTTTGCTGAAGACAATTCCAGAACTCTAAGTGTGCAGTATAAAATGGACTCCAGCTTAGATGCTGTCAGTGTTAACAAGGGGAATCCATAAAGTATGTAAGCAAATTTTTGAACTTCCTTCCACATTTTGTGTTATTCTTGTCGATAAATTATTTTCAATTAAATAGTTATAGCCATTTGTAATTGCTATATTCATTTTGAATAACTCTGTATGTGGTAGTTATGGAAATAAATCTGGAAAACAAAAATTAGTCATTAAAATATACTGCTAATCATTCATATAACTCCATTAAATAAATCAATACTAATAATAATCTATTATAATTTGTGAAAAAGGAATATAAGAAAGTTAACGGGCATTGGAATGGGAAATATGTTCTGAGCTAAAACAAAGTGTAACACTTGATGGGAAAGTGAAAAGCTAAGTCTAAAAATAAACAACAATAAAAAAAATCCTTTAAAGTTTCTTTTATGGCTCGCATGAAAGATATTTAAATATAATTTTAAAGATGTTCTGCATATCTACAATTTTTTATATACCCAAAACAGTTTGTCAAACTATTATGACCATGGGGCAATGTAGGGCAACCTCATTTAGAAATATGTACATTTTAATTGTGTTTTCCTTATCTTGGATCCTGAAATTGTTAAGAGTTGTGTTACTTATAAAAGCAAAAGAATTAGATTGTAAAAATTGATAGTTTGTTAGTTTGTAGTTTATTAATTGTATTTATTATTTTCATTAAAGGTCCTGATATGGCCTTGGATGATCGCAGCTTTGCAATGTTAGCTGTGAATAGCATGGATGTTAAAAGCACTGCCATTTATTTTTATCCTAATCTCATCCCTCTTGTAAGTTGTTATACTATTTTTTAATATGTTCTTGTATTTCTGCTTTCTCAATAATAGCATATTACATATTTCAGCATAATCTCATATTCCTGTTCTTACATTGTTTAGCATGAAGTAGATCCAGATGCAGAAAGTGTGCCAAGTCTCGTAAGGTGCTCAATTGAGAAACTGCACGATAGTGGAGTTTATCTATTAGGTAATAAATTACATTACTTCCCTGTTTTTAAGCAATTTAATGGATATCCATAGCTTTGCGCCAAAGTGTTAGACGTTTCTTGTGCACTAGTAAAAGCAATAATCAAGAAATGTTCATACAGATATCTGTTATAGTTTATCAAATTCTCTAAGCTTAATTAGTGCAATTTATATTTCAAATTCATGAGGTAAATAATTCTTGAGCATATATTGTGTGTGGGTAGAAATTTTAAAAAGAAAAGTTGTAAAAAGAGTTATTAAAGGGAAATTTCTTCAGTTTTGAATCTTTCATAAAGATATTTATTTTAATCGACAAGTTTCAAGTTTTCTGTCAACTTTTTTATTTTTCCAAATTTGCTAACAAAACTTTATGCCATTATATTTCATGCCTTGTATTGTGAGCATATCCTTGCCAATTTCTTTACAAGATCCTCTTTGATTTCTTTTGGAGAATTAGCAGCAAAAGGGAAAGCAGGATGACTGAACTTTTGGGCTGATTTTGATATTTAAAAGGTGCGTACATATTATCCTTTTGACCAGCCAAGTAGTGAGTACAACTTAGCATCAGTTATGGATGACCACTTTCTGTAGAATTCTGCAACAATAATTGGCAATTGGCAACCGTTGTAAAAATTTTTGCCAACGGCCGTCAAGATAATACCAAAGTGCCATTTAAAATAAACATACTGTCAACTTCTGGTCAATTTTTTGCTTTTCCAGTCGTTCATTATAGATGGATACGATACCCTTCAACATTTAGTGGTGTCTTTGCCATGAGACTTTTGGATTAGAATTAAACCATTGAACTCAAGTGGATTATTAATCTGGAAATATATTCATAAAGTTTAAAAATTAATGAGTACAATTTTTTTTTTTTTTTTTTTTTTTTTTTTAAATTATGGAAGAAATACAGAAATTGAAGGAAAAGCGCCCCAATCATACACTTAAAACAAAATTATTCTCGAACCTTGAATCCTCTTCGAGTAAAGAAGATTATTTAGTTGATATTTTAGAATTTTTTGTAGAATTGATATCAAAGCTGTCATTTTGAAAGAATCAGGCACAAGGAGAAAATGGAATTCTGACTGTTGAAAAGAAGAAAGAACATTTGTTTCAGTTTTGATTTTAAAATAATTATACCATCAACTGCCAGTGTAAAATGATATGAAAGTAAATAAACTGTGTTTGAAGTGCAAACTTGCAAATTCATTTTCAAATAAGTTTGGCACATTTCAATTTCTTACTTTTCCAACTGCTCTTCATTATCTGAACCTTGATGCCTTTTGACGTCTAGTAAAATAATTCCTTAAAAACAGTAGGAACGCTTATATAATGAAATAAAGTATCTAGAATATAGCAAGATTTCCTCTTCTGTAATATTGATTGAAGTGTAACGAATGCAGTATTTATTTTTGCACTGCATTATTGAAAGAAAACTTCATCTAATACCCATCACTAGTGGGTTCCTCTGCAGAGCTTCCTAAATTTTCTGTTATTGATAGTAGAATATAACAAATAATGTTGCTTGTATTTCAGCAGTTCTCGGTGTGTGTGCACAGAAAATATAAATTTATGCAATTGGAATCCAGTTTGGGTAAGAAAAGAGCTGGTTTTCTAGGTTTTCATGTCTTTCTTCTGCATCCAGACTCCTTTGTACAATCCACTTTGCTACTGAATGTGATGCATGCTTTTTTTGAGTGACAGACAGATATTCTGTATCCTCAGTGTTACTGTTTGGTCAAATGAGTGAATGTGACATATATTGTGACCTCTGTATTGTTGCCTTCTCAAATGTTTACATGTCCCCTTCCCTTTTTCAGCATATGTGTATATATATATATAATTTATCAAGCAAAGTAGTAATTATAATTTTTAAAAAAACCAATTTTGGTCTAGAAAACATATATATATATATACAGTACAAAGTCTTTAATCCGGAATAATCTATAATCCGGACCTCAAAGCTACAAATTTTCGCGCATGCGCTTATGCATGCACATAATAAGTTTACGCATGCGTGTTTAATGTATAACAGACGGTATAAGCTAGGCTAAAATTATTGAATTATCTATTTCAGTTAAATGTTGTAGATTGCGTTGTTCCTTAATCTTCTAATTGGGTCCGGCTTATTATTTTTTGCAGACTGTGAGAGCAATTTTATGAAATTAAGCTTGAACTTTCGATTATGTCAAAAAGAGTTTCCGATTCTGGAGTTGCCAAAGGATCTCCAAAGCAAAAGCATGTTTCGATGTCCATCAAACAGAAAGTGGAATTGCTGCAAAAAATGGATAAAGGCATATCCTTTGTTTCTCTAACCATTCCGAAATCTGTTTATCAATTTCACGCTGCTCTGCGTGGGGGAAACGTTGTGGCGCGCAATGAACAGGAAGTTGATCTGTCAGCACTATCGTCATCTTCAGGGCAGATGTTTTTATTTTATTCGACTTATAATTCCTTACTAAATGTAGTATTTCATCTCGATGTACTCCGTCTTTGATATGATTTAAATCAAATTCCTCATAATTATAAATATCACGAATACACGTCAAATAGTTTTCTGGTTGCAATTTTCTAATTTAAACTATGCATAATGTTTCCTTTACGCATGTGCACGTTGAAAGAAATGTTTAATAAAGTAAACAAATAAATATTAAGCTCTTTTTTTGTAAATTTTGATACCCTTTAGATCATAATTGCTCTCTATTTCATAAATTACGGTTTCATACTTTTAATTTTATAATTTCTGCATACCAGATTTAAATTGGTGATCTATAATCTGGAAAAACCCCTAATCCAAAATCACCAAAGTCCCGACGAGTCCGGATTAAAAACTTTGTACTGTATGTATATATATATATATCTTTAACTAATGACGAGAACATATTGCATAGCATACTTTTCTTCTCTTTAAGCAAGTATATGCATTTATTTAAATTTGAATATGTGTTTAATTATATTTTTTAAAGTAAAATGTATTAAGTAAATGCATATGAGTGACATAGCTGATGCCGAAGATTTTCAGTTTAGAGCATTTATATGGTAATTGAAGCTTTTATAATATAATATTCTGTATGCTATTTAATTCATAACTTTCTGATCTCAATATGTGCACAGTATTTATTAATTTTAGCATGATCAGCTTTCATATTCAGATATACATATATGCTATACTTATGTTAGATAAAGTGCATAGAGAGTTTAGTCCCCTCCCCCACGATATAGTGTTTATAAATTAATAAATTTAATAAAATTTTTTATAACTTTATTTATTTATTTATTACAGAAAATGGAATCTACATGTTCCTTTGGATAGGACAAGCAGTTTCTCCAAAGTGGCTTGAAGACGTGTTTGGTGTTCAAAGTACTAATTTAGTAGATAAACAAAAGGTATGCAATTTTAAGTTCAGAAAAGAAGGCCTTTTATAAATGTCTTGTTGCTTTAAAAAAAATCTTTAAAGGGCTGAAATTAATGGGTTTTTTTTGGGGGGGGTATTGTTGTTGTTTTTAATATACTTTTAGGATTTCATCAAAGCATAAATTTTAAAATGCTTTTGTTTTTAGAGCCCAAAATACTGGAAATATAAACGTAAATAAATGTAAAACTTTTACTTATGTATTTTTGACTTGATTAATTGTTTCACATCTTAATTTTGAAATTTAGCACCTAGAAAGAAAATTAATTTTCTTAATTTAAACATATAAGAATTTATATGCATACATATGATTAATATAAAGTATTAATGTTGCTAAAAAATATCATCTAATATATGTTCCCCCTCCTCCCCTTTTTTTGTAGTCGCACCCCTTAGGCTTGGTTAAAAAGTGTAGTGTACTTCTAAGATAAATGTTCGTAAGTTGAAAAATTTTAAGAACATTTTATAATTTCTTAGTAAATTATTGATGTTACGAAACTGAATGTTTTGAAAACATTTTTAATGAAAAGGATTGCTGTCTTTTAAAAGGAGTGAAATGTTCCACAAAAGGAATAAAATGTTATCAAAAGAAAAATTTCATAAAAATAATTTTCAAGCTTTCAGTATTGTCAGCTGATTGTTTTATAATTTCATTTCTTGGTCATTGTTGACATTATGGAAAGATAAATATTAAATACATACATTAACAGATTTTAAGATGCATAAATGTATTGAATGATTTTATTGGTAAATTTCAAATAGTGAATTATTCAAAATTAACATATTATATATTTGAAGTATAGCATATATGTATATCTGAATATGAAAGCTGATCATGCTAAAATTAATAAATACTGTGCACATATTGAGATCAGAAAGTTATGAATTAAATAGCATACAGAATATTATATAACCTCAACTTGTGCAAATTCAAAACTGCATAGTTCCTTATTTTACGTATTTGTGCTTGTAATAATTTTGTTTTTAAATTGGCAATATTTCAAAAAATGCTGATGAACTAATCATTTATATATTAGAACTGTTTTTATAAGAAATAATATGCATCAAAGCATAATGATTTAGGACTAATGCTGTGAAACTCTGCATCTATCTTTGAATACGGCATTTAAGTTATACTAATAATCGCAGATAATTTTGCATTTTTCTATATTCCATACAAAGTGAAGTTGCTCTTTCTTTCTTCGAAGTAGGAAAAGTGAAGAGCAGTATTTGATATATTTGTTCTTTTCTATTGTTAAGAACTGAGTTGTTAGGAGAATGTTAAAATTTATGAAGCCATCTGCACTTAAATAGCTCTTTTATGTAAAACATTTATTTTAATACTATTTTGTATTGATATGTATGAAAACTACTGTGAAGTTATCTTATTAGTAAAAGAAATACTCTCAGAGAAATCATCAACAGTTTAAGGAAACTCTAATTATCGAAAATGTTTACATGGAAATTCTTTTAATGTAAACTTGTGATTTTGAGAAATTTATCACAAGACATTTGGATAAATCCCCCCCCTCTTTCTGGAAAAAAAAAAAGGCCTCGCAATTAAAAATAAATAAAAAATAAATTTCTAGAAAAATATTCTTCATGGTGTCCAGTGAAATTTATTGTGCTTTTGTATGTTGTTCACAATAGAACCAAGTAGTTCGATTTCATTTTCTTCTGAGAAATTTTCTAAAAATGGAGAAAACTAAAGCTGTTAACTTGCAGCTTCTTCTGTTGCAAATTTGAGCACTTTTTTTAAAGCTTTAATGAACAGTGAATGGTGATACGTTGTAGATCTCTGGGTAAAAGTATATTTTAGGGTACCCCTTGGTGATTTTGATGGTGCATGGATACCGAATTTGTGCAAGCCTTTGACTTGTTATTTTGGCTTGCGTAGTGACAATTTTTGTGCAAAAATCGCCACTACGCAAAGCCAAAATAACAAGACAAACAATTGCGCAAACTCAGTACCCCCCAAGTGCACGTCGACCTGTTTTCACTTAAAAAAACATCCCAGAATTACACAAAAATGTCATTGCCCACTTCTTTGACTTTATCCATGTGCACATCGACCTATTTTCACTTAAAACGTAATCAGAGAATTGCACAAACTAGACTTTGCACGCTCCCTTGAGTTTGTCCATGTACACATCAATATATTATCACTCAAAAAGTCAAAGGAGCACCCAATTCTACAGTAGAGGCAAGCAAAAAATCCATAATCTCAATAAACTACATTTTAACACATTCACACCGACACATGCCACCACTGGCCTGCACTAGTCTGTCTCATCATGCGACGTGTACCACCAGTGGCCCGCACTAATCTGTCTCATCGGGCGGCACGTACCACCGGTAACCCGCACTAGTCTGCCTTATCGGGCAGCATTTGTCACCGATGCGCATTTGATTGTGTTATTAGACGCTGAAAATTAAAATAATGAAAAATTAATGTTTATTTATTATCAAAATTTTTTAATAACAATTATAATTAATAACTATTAGCAAACCTACAACTCGTATACAGGTTTGAACAGGTAACAATCGCGCGCCACCAGATGAAACGCGGCAAAAATTCGAGCTCCGTCTCACGCCGAAGAACATAAAAATTGGCCCCAGCGTGAACGTGTTAAACTAAACAATAAAATATCATAAAAAAGGATTATGCATTAACATTATGCATTTAAGTATTACACAAAGCAAATATCCACTTACCTCTGTGGCACACAAAATTCTTTAACAGCATCCAAGAACTTCCTAAAATTATCTGAACTAGAATCCGTATATTGGCGTCGCCACATAAATTCACAAAATTAAGAGTCAAAAACATCCTATGTATTCCAGACTGTCCCAAAAATGGCTGCTAAGTAAACCTTCATTTACACACCAGTTAATTAATGCACTTTTCCCCTATCATTCCAAATCGTTCAGAAACTTCAAATTAATCTTACTGCATTCAGCCAATCTAATGTCTAAACAATGAAACAAGCAATGTATTTCCTAACCATACACTCCACAAAAGCCCTTACAAAACATCCCATGATTCAGAATTTTCCAGAATAATGCAAACGATTACGTCGTAATAGGGTTTCCATAACATTCAACTACTCAGGTTACCATAAATGAAACAACAAGTTGGCAATAAACGAAACAACAACTTGACAATAAATGAAACAACTTCGTGATAATGCAAGGAGTACCCTAAAGTCAACTCTAACCGATCTCTGTTCAGCCCATCCTGCTACTGAAAATATCAACCAAGAAAGCCAGCCTTTACAGCCATGATCATCCATCAGTCTGTCAACAAACTCTGACAGAAAGAGAAATTTGATCTTGTCTCAGTTCATAAATATGAGCAAGATCAAACCTTGTTCATTAATATGAGTTCATAAATATGAGCAAGATCACCTTTTCAAAGCCACCTCAGTGTGGAAGAAAAGATGATAGCTATTTACTTATTAATAGCAAAAAAAAGTGGATTATAATTTCCTTGTTCTTCCTGTCTACATTTTCACAAATAATTGCAAATTCCATGCTTTTGATTGTTAGTGGTCTTCACTGTTTTTATCAATACAATCTTCATATTATTTTGACATTTCCTGGCAGCTAATCTTCCTTTGAAGACTGTAGCAGATGAATTTTGCCTGAGAAAGAAATTTCTTGATGCTCCTAAGACTTTCCTCCTGAAACTAAAAACTTCATTGTGTATTTTCTTAGTTGTTATAAAAAAATACGAGTTGAAAAATTTAAATATGCATTAAAATATCCTTCATGTCTCCCTGTTATCTGTATTTCATGTGTGGTGGTATTTAATAATGCAGATTGAAAATTAAAAGTTAGTTAATCTCTCTGATTTAATTTTAGACTTCCTTACCTGAACTAAATACTCCTCTGTCTAAAAAGATTCGCCAAATAGTAGAAGATATTGAAGAAGGACGACAGTGGTATATGAGGGTATGTTATTTTAAATTTTTATTTTATGCGTTTTTGAAATAAAGTCAAATTTATAAATAATATATGATTTATAAATAATTTGATATAAAGTCAAATCAAGTTTCAAAGTAGAAAAAATCAGCATTTCAACATTTTTGTCACGAATTTTGATACATATTTTCTAGCAGTTTCTCAGAATAATTCCTGCTGATTAAAAGAATCTTAAATGTATTTTATACATAGTCCATATAAAGCTTCATATAGCTTAGTATAATAGAAAAGTAATAACTATTTGTGAAATATATGAATATCACAGTTTTAAGTCTTATTTATAACTCTTTAGTTAAATTTAACAAAATGTCCAGAGGCTCGTTATAGTCTAAAATCTATTATTTCATTCTTTCTACCTGCTATTTCACTAATAGCTCTTTCCTTCTGTCAAATAGTTTGAACTTCCCAATATTTGAAAAATACATATTATAACAATGAAAATTTTGATAACTGCATCTTAAAGTACTTTTAAGAAATTGATCAGGTTGAACTTCTCAATATTTGAAAAATATATATTATTATAATGGAAATTTTGATAACTACATCTTAAAGTACTTCAAGGCTTCCTAGAAAGCAGCTTTCAAAAACGGGGGTAAATTTTGACTTGAATAATAAAGCTACAATATATTTTTGGCTGATATTTCTGCAAATAATGTGCCTTGTACTTGAATTGTGTTTAAATATTTTTTTTCAGTTTTACGCATAACTGAAATATTTAATTATAGATTTTTGCTTGATCTTCAAATGTAGTATAAACATCTAATTTTACACAGATTTATTTTGTGTGGAATTTTAGTGTGTCATAGCATAGGTATGACAAAAAAATTATTGCAGTTTATATGCATATTAATTTTCAGAATAAAGACTTCTCAAAGCATCAAAAGAATGATAGGACACGCTATTTATATGAAGGGTAATAAATCATTTATTTTAATAGTTAAATAATTAGCAAATATATTGTATCCCAAGTTATTTCATACAGTAGTACTGATTCCTGAAAAAAAAAAAAACTGTTGAATAAAGGAGGAAGAAATTTATTTCATGTGATATATAGCAGTATAACAATAAATACAGACTGAAAAAACAATTGAATAAATGAGCATGTGACTCTAAACTATTATTAAACAAAGCTGAAATATGTGACAGTGAACTTGAGAGGGGAGTTAATACTTTAAAAATAAATCGAAGCTTTTGGCAATATTAGGGACTGTGACTATAAATAAAACTCTTAACATGTGCATACATATCACAGTAAATTTCCTTTAAAGCACTGAGATCTGTTGGAAATGAATTTTGTTATGCAAATATTCTTTCAGGAATCTCTAATAAGTTTATAACAGAATCAAATCAAGATATTTAGTTGGCTAATTAATTTTCACATTCTTTTGGTATTAGACAATTCAGGAGTTAGATTGTCCTATATGAATTCACATTATTTTTTTAAATATTCAGGTCCACATACATCACTATGAAGTTCTATAACAGATCATTCCAGACATTGATCCTTTGTCAAACATATTTAGGGTTACATGCACTGACCATTATTCTAGTTGGAATATTTCATGTTCTTGGCTTCCTTCATATGGAAAAATGTTAAAAATCATACGTTTGATTAAACCTCAGCTAATCACTAAAGAGAACACAGGCACATTGTTGTAGACCCAGTTCTTATGTTCTGAGTACCTAAAAACCTCCACTTTTTGTTGTTATTGTAAGGTCAATCAAACACAAAAAATCAGCTTCCTAGCATAAAGGCTTTCATTAAACCTTCTGTGTGTATTTTCCTGCAATGTGAAACTCCAGCAGCAAGATGTAAACCCTGCCCAGTAATTGGGTTTCTGTTATAGTCAGCCATTACATAGAAAACTAGTATTGAGAAGCAATTGTTTCTGTTCTGAGACCTTGTGTGGGTTTTTTTAGGCACAGTTTGAGTCTTAAATTGTTTCCTGACAATAAAAATCCTCTTAACATTTGGTTATCTATCTACTCTTATAATTGTCTGTTGTTTTTTTAAATGGACTACAAAACTCTGTCTTAGAGATTCTTTTTAAATATGCTTTGGTATCATTAAAAGTGCTGTTTTGGTTTGATAAATATTGAAGTTTATGAGCTTCAGATGTTGGTGGGTAAACACACTTTGCAGAAATTGCTTGCCAAATTTTCTGGTCACATTCTGGCATTATTTGAATTTGAGAACTTCAAAAATTGGTTGATTAAACTGCATTAAATAGAGATAGTTTTTATTTTTTTCATAAAAAATAAAATGATTGATTGAGACACTCCCAACAGAATGGAAACTTAGTATCATCTGTTTGATACATAAAAAGGAAGAGGGGCTTGATTGCTGTTATTATAGAGTAATTAGTCTTCTGTGCTCATCCTATAAAATACTTTCAACTATTCTTTTTAACAAACTTAATTTATTGTGAAAATGCAATAGTGATTATCTGTGTGGCTTTAGGGGAGGCAATCAACTGTTGAGTAGAATTTCAACCTAAGTCAGAATTTCGAAAAATTTAAGAATTTGGAATCAAAATAAATTTTTTTTTATAGATTTCAGAACTGCATATTCTTTCATTAATTATGAATTACTCATTGAGGCCATAGGTGAACTAAATATTCCAGAAAAACGTCTTGCTGTGGTAGCTTTGACTCTTAAAGAAACCAAAATAAATTCGTTCACAAGATGACCTTGCAGAAAACTTGAGATCAAGAATGGAGTGAGATGGGGAGGTGTATTGTCATGCTTCTTATTTAATATTGCACTCGAAAAAGCTGCTAGAAATTCTATCCTTAATGCTAGAGGAAATATTTTTAATAAGATTATTAAGTTGCTGGTTTATGCAGATGATATTTGTGTTGTTGCCCATACTGTTCCTAATCTTAAACAGGCATTCATGACATAAGAAAAAGTGCAAAAAGACTCAACCTTTCTGTTAATGAAAATAAAACTGAATATATGCCTTTTTTAAAATCTGACTTAACCCTTAGTCATTTAGAAATTAGTAGCTATAGATTTGAAAAAGTGTACTGTTTCACTTATCTGGGAGCAGAAATGAATTATAAAAATGAGATAACTTCTTAAATGCTTAGAAGAATCTCTGCCGCAAATAGACGTTTTCATGGCTTGAAGAATTTAAAATGCAGCTTTCTTAAGTTAAAAGCTAAATTATTTCTTTACTGATCGCATGTAGATCGATGTGGTAAGAAAATCTTTCTGGAGAAGACCATGGGAACCAGACCTTGGGGTAGACCCATGGTGAGATGGATCAGTTTTGTTGGAAATATCCTAAACATAGAAGTCAAGAACCGCAAAACAGTTTCCCAAAGCAGAGATGCCTGGAGAAGGCCAGGGGCCACCCTTGGCTGTCAAGCCAGTGAAGTAGAAGAATATGTCTTGAAGTTTACGTAGCTAATTTACAGATATTCTATATGTGACTCTTCTAACAACACATATTTTGATGCAATAGCCAGGTACTTTACAAATGTCTCAGTATGTTCATGTGAACAGCTGCAGTAGCTGCAAAATGTGTTACTTACGATTGTTCATTCATTGGGAAAGTAGGAACTCAAACTTGTTTCTTTCTATATCTCTATAAAAAGTAGTCATGTGGAGAAATACTTCTTAGTTGCTAACATGCCAGAGCTATGTTCTGGTCTGTTAAATGGTCAGTCCAAACTCAGAATTTTGCCTATACCATATTCTAAGACAATTCTGTGCACTAGTAGCAAAATGTTTTTTGGATACACACAGAAAGTAAGCACATGAAATGTTTTATTACCTAATTAGCAATCATTATTCCTCAAATTCATCTGAAGGGTTCATGAGAAGCTGACATCACAAAAGAAGGTCATAAACTTGTCTACAAAACTACTAAATGCTATCTGATAAAAGCTTGCTTTTTATTTTATAAGCACTTAATTTGAAACTAAACTAGTATAGAGATATTTGGGACAAAAGGTTATAAGTATATATGAGATTAGATCTGTTAAAAAAACTGCTCATAATTTAATTTTTTTCATGTTACTCAAATCATTGTGTTTTTTGGATAATGTATGGAGGCTTGTGACCATAATATTTTACAAAATGGTTGTACTTAAATCTGTGAATCCAGAAACTCTATCAAGAGTCTGATAAGAAAAATAATGTTATATTCTTCACTTGAAGTTTCTTGTTCGTAATTAGTATGCAGTTTTATTATATAATACTGTAAAGTCACTGCTAGATACCAAAGCTTATAGCCCAAAGAATGCGTTTTGTGTTTTAGTGACCTTCTGATGATTATTCAAGAAATTAGATGTGGGGTTAGCAGCAACACACTGTCATATGTGGGGAAAATTATCTGGCTAGAGCTAAGGCGTACCATGTCTTAGTTTTGATAATGTGCTTTGTCTTTAAAATAGGCATTTTGTTAAACTGATACTTTTCTGTTAATGGGCTGATCATAATGGGGGGGAAAAGCATGGTAGCTTGTTTATTACACATCATTTATCTATGCAGTAACATCACTAAAAGTAAACAGGAAGAATGAATATCAGTTCTATAATTTTCCCTTCAGCATTTTCAGTTGATTTTTTTGAAATGGTGGTTTAAAGAAAGGGAAGTTAGAATTGGTAGTATGGAATTATAAAAGTTCCAAAATGACATATAGGTGTGATTATAAAGTGTTCCTAAACTAAAGTATCATCAATATTAACCCTTTCGTGATGGCGCAGCTTTGTTTAAGATGCTTGTGGGGGATGGAAGGGAATCGAAGGCAGTCACCATACAGGATGGAGGTTTTGAATAGCTAAGCCTAATTTTATAAACAAAAATCAGGAAGAAAAAGTTTCACTTCTAGCATCGTAATTTTTTGGTATCATTTTAGATTATCACTTGAGCTCTTATATATGTTAAAATTAGAACTTAACTTTTTTTTTTCATTATTTTACATGAAAATATACTTAAAAAATTGCTTATCTTATAAAATAATTTTCAGAAGCACTATTCAAATTATTCCAAAGTTTTAATTGATAAAATCCATCAATAAAGTTTAAAATTAATAAAACAACACAATAAAGACTATTTATAGTAAAAATTAACAAAATTTAAAATGAAGACTGAGTGTGGTAAATCTTGAAGCACGGAAAAGTATCATTTTCTAACTCTTCAGAAAATGAATCATCACTCTCATCTACGTTAGTAAATGGTTCATTAACCATACGAGGGTATTCTTCCTCTGATATATAGCGCCTTCCCGCCATAATAGACTGGAGGTGAGGCTTTCCGAAATAAAAAGAGAAGAAACGGAACACGCGAATGTTTTAGCAAACCAGTTGATGAGTAAAATACCAAAGTCAGGCAGAATATATCAACTCAAGGTCAGGAACCTAAAACTGTGTTCATTTTAAAAAGTAATGGACATAGGATGCCATCTAGTGGCCTTCAGAAAAACATTCCAGCTTAAAATGCATATACGCATCACCCGTCCTCTGAATACAATCTCTAATGATGCGTGGATGGGACACCTGGCTGTAAGATACATTCTTAGGGAATGCGTTTATGGGACGCCCATACTGAAAGGGTTAAGAAACCTTTTTGGAACTGCAAAATGAAAATGTATTTTACTGCTACTGGAGCATCGAACTCATGCTGCAATAAAAAGATCTTATACTGAAAATAAGTTCACGGAGGTGTTTCTAGTTTGAAAATTTATGAATTCTGTTTCTGATAACTAATCATTTTATTAACTTCGCTGTTCAGAGCTCGTTCAAAATTACATGTAATTACTCATCATTTTATTTAAGATTTTTAAAAAATTTAACTAAGAATTTTGTTTTTTAACAGCACATCTAGTGTAAATATGATGTCCAAGATCTCTGATATATACATATTTAAAAAAGCAGATTAATAGTTTTATGATAAGAAACTCATGTATGAAACAATATTCTGTCTTTATCAAAAATTAATACTATAAAAACATTGCCAAAAGTATGTTTTATGTTCATTATATATAATGTAATTTTAAATTAAAATTACTTTTCAAATGCCTTTTGCGAACATAATTTTAGTTTTTGTTATTATGTTCAGTACCAAAAGCCAAGTTCTGTGTTTCCTAGGAGAGGAAAATGTATTCATTTCCTAGTATTCTTGTGTATGAAATTAACTGAACATGGGATCTTTTAAATTATAATTTAAATTTTTTAAGATTTATTATCTCCTGTTCAATTTGACCTTCCTTTTAAATTTTTCAAAAAAAAAAAAAAAAAAAAAAAAAAAAAAAAAAAATACAATTTTAGATGTCTTTTAATTGAAATAGATCAGGTTCTAATTTATTTGTTTCTTTATGTTTTTAGCTTACAGTCATGGTGCAAGGAGATAAGTTGGAGGTTGTGTTTCGCCAGTTTTTAGTAGAAGACCGTGGTGTAGATGGTAGTCCATCTTATGTTGATTTTCTTTGCCACTTGCATAGAGAAATTTCAAAAAATCTATGAAATATACTCTAGTAATTGTACATTATTGAATGAAAAGACATTGGGAGATTAGGTCCAGAAACTTGTTTTCGTATATGTTAAATATGTTTGACATGAACCAGAAACTTTTGTTTTTCTTTTTTAATCTTTGAAACATTGCAATTCGCCGGTTTGATCATTGTGCAGTTGCATTATTCTGAAAGTATTTTGGAGGATAAATTGTTCTGCTTTTGTATTTTTCAAACTAATTAATATTTCTGCGTTAAAAGATAATGATACTAAGTATCTTTGAATTGTTTTTTAAGAATAAGCTTACTTACTTGCAAATCCATGATTTTTTTAACTAAAGTAATATATGTATAATAATGTATGGTTTTTACTAATAAACAAATTTTTTTTTTTTTTTTTTTTTTTTTTTTTTTTCAGAATCACAATTTTTTAAACATTTTCCTAAAGAGTAAAGTAATAAATTTGTCTCTATGTGATGTTAAATGGTCTTCCTGCATTTCGGCTAAGAGTTGAAAATGTAAGAATTATTAAATTCAAATATTTTATAATGAAAAAGGTTACAGAAAAAATTAAATGTTTACTATATTATCTGATTATACAGTGGGAAGTATTATTGTTAGCTTTTAAAATGATACTTGAATTTTTGTCATATATGACTGAAAATTTCATGTCCATATCTATGTTTTTCAGTCAAAATGAATTCACTGGATGATATTTCATTTAGGCTTTTCTACTGGGCATCCCACAGAGAACATAAAATCCTTAAAAAAATAAATTATAGATATTTTACTTGTGCTTATTTATTTTCAAAGGCTGTTATTTGTGGAGCTTAGCTGCAATAATGATGTTATAGTGTTTTCAATATTATTTTTTAATATTTTAATAATAAATCATAATGTAATTCTTTTTAATAAGGCAGCTTGAAAACTTAACAAAGTTTTTGAGTTTCAGTATTATTAATTTATTTTAAATACATTTAAAAAGATGGTAGTGCCTCCATAAGTGTTTTGATTATACATGTTATTAAGACTGGAAAATACTGTACTTATCACAGTTTAATTCTGATAAGAATAATAATCAGTATTTTAAATAAAAATTATTATATACTTTTTAAAAAAATGTAAACATCAGTTTTTCCTGTTATTTCAATGCTGTCTTTATTTTTCAAAAGTTAACTACAGTTACCTGCTAATAATGTGCAAGCATTCTGCAAGATTAGTTATGAAAGGAAGAGTGTGAAATATCTATTCCGCCTGAAACTTTGTTTTAAAATATGGAAACTTAAATTTGGTAAGACTTTCAACTTGTGGTTCTATTTTGGCAAGGTAAGAACTGAAGAGAGTTGGGGAGGGGATTAGAAATGATCTGAAATTTCACTTATCCTGAAACCAGTTTAGACACTAAATTTTTTTTAAATTATGTATTTTCGTATTTCATTTGAGTAATTTAAGTTTTACCACTTGTTGAAGCTCTTCAGTGACAAGAAGGCATCATTGAAATGGCCTTTTTTAAGTTCTACTTTGTGTTATAGATTCAGTTCATAAGTGCAATTTCTTTATATCTGAAAAGACAAAAATTTCTTGTTTAAATGAATCTAAAAACAGGGTCACTTAATCTGTAGATCTGTGCTGTTTAATTTAATTAATATAAATTATTTAGTTATTTTTAAAACGCTTTGAATAATTTACTAAAAAGTTGCATTTAAGTAATTTTAGATGACATTCCTGAAAAGCAAAGTTATATGTAAAATCAACAGTGCAGAGACATTAATTTTTAGTTGAATGTTTTAATTTTAAAAAATTCTTCAGTAATGAAATTTTATATCAGTTATTGAGCATTTATTTTTCATATTTTGTAAATAGTGTTGATATTTTATTTTGCATTTATGTATATAAGATTTAAACCTTCAATTATACAAATATGATAATTTTTATATTGCTTTAATTTTTTGTATGATTCTTAAAACAAGTTCTTGTTCCTTAAATTTCCAAAAATGGTTTTTGAGAGAATTTTACTGTGAAAAAATAACTGTGTTTTTCAATTATATATATATATATATATGCATATATGTATTTCAAGAACTATAGTTAAATCTATTTAAGAAGCTTTAATTAATCTTATTGAAATGTTGTTATTGGTGTTTGTTGTTTATCGTATGCTTAAGATTTTGGAAGGCACATTTAAATGCTTTCTCTAATGTTTTTATCAATATTATGAATATTTTTGTGAAATTAAAGAATATATTTTATAAACAAACAATTTTTATTCCTTATGTATTTATGGTGAATTTGTAATTGCATTTTCTGGGATAATTTGTATTTTTCTTTTTTCTTTAAATATAACAAGATTCCAAAAAGGACTATTGTTTCTTTTAAAGTTTATCTGAAAAGTAAAATTTAAGTGCATGGTAATATAAATTTTCTGAGATTAGTTTTTAGAAATTTTTGTTATTAAATATAAAGCCTAGTATATGATATTTTAATAATTAGATCTACATTTATCTCAAACTTTAATGTTAAGCATGGCTGTTAATTGAAGGTAAAAAAAACACCATTCTTTTGTCAAAAAAGTTTTGTTGGATTTTTTATATAAATATATTTTCATATTAGAAAACCCACTAATGATTGAGTTATAAAATCACTGGTTACTGGTAATTCAACCCGAGTTTTAATTCTGATGTAATAGGCATTTTTATGATTTTACCCAGTATCTGGACATAATCCCTACAGGGTCGAAATCCTGACAAGCCAAAATCCCGACAGAGTCAAAATCCTGACACGGGTAAAATCCCAGTAAGGCCTAGTAGCCTCTTAACATACTTCCAGAGCTGCTTACGGAACGCCATCATAATGACAAAGGATCGGCTGACTTCATGCAAAGGTCATTTCTTATTTTTTAGGTCTAGTCAAGGTACAGTCAAAAGTCGTTAATTCGGACACCCATAATCCGGAATGATCTATAATCTGGACCTCAAACTTTCTGCGCAAGCGTCGCGTTGACTCATGCACGTAACACCTTTACGGCTGCGAATATGCGTGTGCAAAATACGTTACGAATGCGCGTTTAATGTATAACGGACGTTATAAGCTAAGCTAAAATTATCTAATTCAGTTAATGTTGCAGATTGCGTTGTTCCTTAATCTTCGAATTGGATTCGGCTTATTATTTTTTGCAGACTGTTAGAGCAATTTTAAAAAAGTAAGCTTGTACTTTCGATTATGTCAAATATAATTTCTGATATATATTTACTAATATGTAAAGGATCTACAAAGTGAAAGTATATTTCAAAGTCCATTAAACAAAAAGTGGAATTGCTGCAAAAAATGGATAAAGGCATATCCTTTGTTTATCTTTAACGCCGCGGCGCGCAATGAATTGGAAGTTCATCTGTCAGCACTATCCTTATCTTCAGGGCAGATGTTTGTATTTTATTTGGCTTATAATTCCTTACTAAATGTAGTATTTCATCTCGATGTACTCCGTCTTTGATATGATTTAAATCAAATTCCTCATCATTATAATTCGCTTCCGATAGCGAAGAAAGTAACAGAGGTTATTGAAAACGAAAACATTTCGATTGACAAATTAGTCGGTATTCTCGACACAGCAATTATAGGACTTGAACAGCGGAACTTTGTAACTGAAGAAGAAATTATGTCTGTTTATAGAATTAAAGAGAATGTATTATCACATAAAAAACGAAGCAACTTAAATAACTTACATTGAAAGAAATGTTTAATAAAGTAAACAAATAAATATTAAGCTTTTTTTTTTTTTTTTTTTTTTTTTGTAAATTGTTCATTTGTAATGGTCTTTATTGTCATCATGTTTAGATCATAATTGTTCTTTATTTCATAAATTACGGTTTCATATTTTTTATTTATAATTTCTGCATGCCATCTTACCAGATTTAAACTGATGATCTATAATCCGGAAAAATCGATAATCTGGAATCGCCAAAGTCCCGACGAGTCCGGATTAACAACTTTTGACTGTATTATATTTTATAAGCTATATGAATAGGAGAAAGAGGTAACTATTTCACAATGACGGAATGGATACGGCTCTATGCTGTAGGGTTACGTTCACCTCGAGATAGATAGTGCTCACTTGCCAGTTTATTTTTTGCTCATTAAATTGTTCCAAAAAATGGCTGAAATTTGTGAAACTGTTCCGTCTCAAAAAGGAAGCAATAAAATTAATACATGTGGTTATTTAATGGTGAAAGATAAGAATCGTGACTGTTGTGAAAAAAGAAAATATGATATGTGCAAAGGTCAAGTAACAACAATATTTTTAAATGGACAACATCATCTCCATAAATTTTCTGAGCATAACCAAGTGCAGCTGCTATTGCAAAATGTATTGGCCAATTTAAAGAAGGTGCTCGACATACCGGAAATCAGCCATACCAGATAATTCAAAGCAACATCATAAACACTTCTCAGAACATCCATCAAAAGAAGCTCTTTGGAAAAAAATTAAATGGGTCTGGCAAAACAAAAAATGCCATCAGAACCAAAAACATTGAATGAAATTGATATCCCACCTACTTTAAGAAATACTTTCATAACTGGTAAATAATTTTTAGTAAGAAATTCTGCAGTTGGAGATGAGAGAATTCTAATGTTTACAACAGTTGCAAATGTTAAACATATATCACACCTTAATAGATGGCACATATAAAACAGTGCCCACAACATTTTGCCAGCTATATACAATTCACACACCTGTTGGATCTCAAAATTTCAGAATTCTTCCACTAGTATATGCTTTGATGACAAGCAAATCTGAAGAAAATTACAAAAGATTATTCTAAGATTTAATTGATTTCTCTGAAGAAAATAATATTGAACTGAGGCCATCTAGATTCATTAGTTATCTAGAAAAGGAAGCTATATATTATTCAAAATCAAGAGTCATTAATAAATGTCATTAATAAAGCTTGTTTTTTCCATCTGCGTCAGTGTGGTTGGAGAAAAATATCCCTCCTTTTAGGCAGATAGTTTTCAAGTGCTTTGCCATAATCGAATAAACCATATTAAATAAAACATTTTTATCTAAGAATTATTACTTCTGGCCAGAATTATAAGCGTTAACGTATTTATGCAAAGTTTGTCTGGCGAGCGCCAAGTATTTAAGTTGTGGCTTTTTGCCAAGTGAGAGAGAGGAAGCAGTTAGTCGAAGCAGGCCGCTTACCTTAGAAGTTTTACTCAGTTGCTGGTTGCCTTCCAGGCCAGAGGTTTAATCCTCTTGATAATTTTAAACGTATTGTAGTGTTCACAGTTCTCTGTACTACATACGGCTTCCTGTTAATATAAGGCCAATCTTCCACGTTTATTATTTCAAAGTTAAGAGTTTAGTTTTATTTTTATATTTTTACGTTTAGACCACAAGTAGTGGGTCTTTGTATTCCGAAGTACGGAAGTTATTGTAAATAGAGAAAAATAAAGGGTTTTGTATACCCTTCTTGTGTATCCTGTCTACTTCCCACAGTTATTGAACATAGCTTTAGTAAGCTGTCTGTTCCGAGTCAGGTCCTTGCATGTTCCCGAAGAAAGTAAGACAGAACATTGAACCTGATAAGATAACTATGATTCTCTTAGGATGCCTGCAGATCTATATTATAAGGTGATATATTTTAATCAGTCTAATAATATACACCACGTTTACAGAAGTATTTGCTCGCTGTGTATTTTTCACAATCATTGGTTATATAGTTTCAATATTAAAAATGTTTTAAAAATTTCACTTGTATAAACATTGCAGAATCTAAATGTTTTCTTATCCCCTACAATTTATTTGAGAGATTTTGTGCTGCCTATAAAATGTACAATAACCAAGATAATTTTTTTTAAAGTTGATCATATTCATGGGCATATGTAAATCGGAGAGTAAAATGTTTGCAATTAAAAAATGAAATATCAGCTTTTAAAATATTTCTAGTGTTAACAGATTATGATAAGCGTTTCTGTGCAGATTGCCAAAATATTGAACTATGTAATTATTAGAAAAAGATACTTTTTTTAGAATTTGTTCTTCGAAAAAACAGACTTTAGTATTCTCACATACCCAACATATATTCTTCTTGTGGATAGTTCATTTGTCATGCGTTTACTGTGTACTGGCATTTTTCCATATGGCTTAGAAATCATTTTATTAAGATGCAAGCACATAATAAAATTTTGTGATCTCTTTTTCACAGTTAGCAATATCAAGGTTTTACTTTTGCAAAATCTCAAAAGCTATATCTGAGTGGAAAAATATCATTTAAAACGCATGTAAGAGAAAATGATTCTTACACTCAGCTAAAAATTTAATGAATTGATGCAGTCTCCCCCCCCCCAACTTATTGAATCTATAGCTCACTGCGGCCTTTAATTGGCAGCACCTACAGTTGATTTAACTGAAAATATTCTTTATCGCCTAAACGTGCAAGGCTGTAAAATATCTTTAATATTACAAGGAGTTTTTCATATCTTGAGTTGGATATTGATAATACATTTAAATTACAAATTCTGTTTTTAATCACTACACAGTAGAAAAAGGTCATAGAAAAAACTTTGTTTACCACAACCAGCTAACCAGGTAATTTTTTTGCTCAGAACAGCGTGGAATTGTCTTACAAATTCCCGTTTCTTTAATCCATTATAAAGTGATTAAAGAATTATATAAAATCTATCTTTGTATTGTTTTTTCAGAGAAAAATCAAAGACAGTTTTTGAATTAGATTTTGTAACATGTATTTCGTTTCATTTCCACCATAACTGTTACAAGTTTAAACAATGTTTTATGGAAATTCAAAGAAGCCCAGAAATAAATAAATATTCATTATGCTGTAATAATAAACTTATAAAAGCCAATTAAAAAAATATGACCAGTGCAACTAAAACGCAACGATAAATTGCATTTAACATAATGACAATCAGTCTCTTCTCTATAGCTGCGGAGCTTCCGAAATTTGTGGTTTCTGAGTTTTGATAAAGTATTTACCTTTTTGTTTCCCCCACACAGACAACTTTTAAGACATGAATGCACCCACAACGTATCTTGTGATGAAATTTTTAGATACTGATGCATCCCAAGCGACAGTATACAAAGTTTTCTTGAAAAGGCACATTCTCAAAGATAAAGTGCCTGTATAGGTAATTAGCATGTGTTACATTATTTCGTCAATGATGCAGTGAATTTGGTTAGTTCATCTTCAGTCCAAGCACTTATGTCCTGCCAAACAACTGAAAAAACACTAAGAGAAAGACCTTTCTTTAACATAACTACTAACCGGCTAATTTTCTTAAATTTTGTATATTGCTTCAGATTTCTAGAAAAAAAATTTTTTTCATGGTGTTGTTGTTTAAA